GGTGCAGGACAGTCTCCACACCGGGACCCGTCTCAATGCAGTGTGTAGAGCCACAAGTGTCTGCGTAGAGAGAGTCCCACCCCTCTTGCACGTACAGCGTCCGTCACCCCCCGTCACCGGCTGAGTGTACAGGAAGGTGTATTTGCACGACCTTAACTAGAGGCATGCCTCTCATTAGTCGTAAAACGGAGCGACGACGTCTTAGTTGTACATAACTAAGCGTGTCTGTTGGTCTCGGCGCCGTCGGATGTAGTTAGCGGTCCCGCCCCATGCGAGTCGCGTCGAAGACTTGTGTCGGTTCTGCCGACAACTAGACCGTGGCGGCGTGGATGAGAGGGTAGTCTCGTGACATACACGCGCCGGCTCAACTTGTTTCCCCGTCTGGAGTACAGGTCTCCTCCGGAGCGGTCCTCCTGACCTCGGATTGTAGGGCTCGCCTAGCGGGTCCAACCTCGGCGCCAAGCCCCCTCCCGCCTCCGCCTAGACAAGCGGCGTGCGCCTTGCGCGTTACGCGGGAGACCAAGAGGGACAGTCCGCGCCCTGGAGCGGGGGAAACTCCCCGTGACCTCAGGTGAGTGCCCTCCTGCTGGCTGGGTCACCACGCCCAATCGCGACTTCACGTCTGGACTACATCGGCATAAATGTCCGGTTACCTGCAGGTGACAGCCCTCTGCTAAGGCTGTCACCACGCACATCCGGTCTACTGCCTTGGAAGGCACCAATCTGGATAAATGATTCCGCTACCTGCAGCGTGAGAGCCCTCTCTTGGATGGTCGTACAGAGGGACCTTTGACCTCCCTAGACAACATACGTGAGTAGGTCCCTGCTCTGGCCCCTGTAGAGGAGAGACACCGGGAGGTCCAGGTGTTTTCTGCCGCTGACTGGAGGGTCGGTACACAGGGACGTTACTCGTGAGACACATAAGTGATGAAGGTCCTCTCTGCGTCACCAAGTTAGGTAGAGAAACGGCCCAGTACCTCGGGACTTCCTGCGGATCTCGGCAAAAAGACGCGCGGCGGAGTACGTACACAGACGGACTCTACACCAGAGTCCAAGCATACAATGTGTAGGTCCAGTGTATGGCCGACTATAGGGAGAGACACCCAAGCTTCTGGGCGCTGCCTATCGTGCGGAGGTCGTACATTGGGACTGTACCCGTGCAGCTCATCGGGAAGTCTGACACACAGTGCGCGAGGCCGAATCCACGAGAGCGGGATGCCAGAATTCGGGTCTACTAGTGTCCACGGGATTTACAATTGGAGTACATGGACCATTGGGAATTTCAATAGTCCGCATTTCATACAACGCCACGAAATCCAGGCGTGTAGCCGTAGGTACCACGCCGGAAGAAGTAACAGAGGCGAGAGAAGACACCTCGCTAAAGGTACGAGGACGCATTTGGGAAATTTACTCTTAGACGTAAGATGCGACCCGAGTAGTTGCGTGAAATGTTTCGGTCTGTATTACAAATTGTACTGTTCCCGTGCACAAATTACAGACCTTACTCACAACGTGAGACGTCAAACAGTGCGGATGAGTAAATTGTAACTTTAGAGGACCTTCTTCGTGTCGAATACAGGTAGACGGGCCTCTCGCAGTTACAATTTACTATAGCGACGGTTTTACTGCCGAATTTTTGCGGGTCCTATGGCACAAACTTTCCGCCCCTTTTCACAAATTTTTATCAGCCTTGTTCACAAAAATTTGAAGACCTTCTCTAACAATCGGACAGTAAAACGTCCTATATTAAATTGTACGATTGGAGAGGGCCTTTACGTGTCTTATACAAAGTAAAAGTCCTCTCCCAGTTACAATTTAATATAGGAACGTTTAATACTGGTCCCGATTTTGTGGGTCTATGCACAAACTTTCCGTCCTTTTTCAACAAATTTTATGAGACTATGGAGGTCCGCGTTGGACGTAAAATAATTCGGTCCTTCCCACAGAACTTAGGACCATTTGTAACAAATTTATTCAGACTGTGGCCGTGACATAAACGGGGACCCTTTGGAAGCTTCCAACTATAAGTCAAAAATAAAAATAAAGTTATTAGTGTACTAAAAATGTTTTTCGTCATATGGTGTCATTGTATATATGTTATTATTATTATATGTAATGTATTATTTTTGTACTTTTCACCACATTTTATACGGAGTATTCACCCCGGAGACTTGTCATCGGTCTCCTAGTGTCCGGTGTGTGGTGTGATGTTCTCTAGGTCCCGCCTGCGTGTACCGAAAATAATGGTCTTTGATTGCAGAGACTCTCCGCCCACCTCGAGTTCTTTGTCCGACGCAGTGGGGGAGTTTTGAGACAATGGGTCTTCCTCGTCCTGTAAGACCGACGCCCAACTTCACCCATTTTCGCGTAATTCAGACCAAAAATTAGGCTGTCGGCGACTACGGCCGTGTCTTCAGACCGGCACAAGCAATTGAGAACTATCGGTCCTACCCGCCTTTAAGGCAGGCAAAGCAATGCTTGCGGCCTACCGGACACGTCTCCGAGGGTCACTCTCGAGGTCTGACACACGTCGACACAATCCCTTGTATTGACTCTGCCCGCATGTGACTCACAAAGTTTTCACGTAATTTGAAAAAAATTAGCTTTCGTCGGCGATGTTAAGAGTGACCACAGTGGGGTCCTTACCTCGGCCTAAACACCCATCCGACTACGATTTCCACGTAATTTTTGAACCAAAATTAATTTGTCTCATGTCACGACAGGTGTAGTGTGAAACATGGGTCCGTTACTCGGCCTAAACACCCATCCGACTTCCGTAACTTTGACAAATTAACGGCTGCTCGGCCGACTACGCTGCCCTTCAGACCGGCAAGCAATTGTTACAACTCTACGTGCCTTTAGGCAGAAGCAATTTGCGGCCCGGACCTCGGACACGTCTGGGGTCACTCTCGAGGTCTGACGACACGTGAAACTACACATCCTTGGTATACTCACCACATGCTTACTCACAATTTCCACGTAAGTAGACAAAAATTAGGCCTGTCGTCGGCCGATTGTTAGAGTGACACAGGTGCGGCTCCTTTACTCGGCCTAAACCACCAAACCGACTCACGATTTTCCACGTATTTCCAAAGTTAATTTGTCCATAAGTCCACGACGAAGTGTACGTGGAAAATGTCCGTTTACTCGGCCTAAACACCCATCCGCCTCGTAAATTTGTCAAAATTAGGCTGTCGGCGACTACACGTGCCTTCAACCGGCAAAAATTTGTAAACTTACGTGCACTTTAGGCAGGCCACCAGCAATTCCCGCCTCCTGCCGCCGCGCCCCCCCCCGACCTCGGACATCGTCCTGGGGTTCAACCTCGACGGTCTGACTACAACGTGACACAATACCCTTGGTACCTACCTGGCCACTGTACTCACAAATTTCACGTAATAGACAAAATTAGGCTGTGCGTCTCCCACGACTGCTTTGTGCTTGTTTCACTATAAATGGGTCCTTATTCTATCAAGTTCGTCCTATCCTTTTCACAAGGACGTCGACGGGGTCGATGCGTAGGCGAATAAACCACCTCTGGAGTCTTCTCATGTGAAGGAGACCCAGGGGAATCACCCCGTGGTCGGCTGCCATCATGCCGAGCAGCCGCATCACGGAGAGGGCTGTCACCACGCTGCCGGGTGTGACGCGTCGAAGGAGAGCTGTCAGCGTCTCCACTCTCTGCCGTGAGATTCGCGCTCTCATGCGGGCTGAGTTCAATTCCACACCCAGGTAAACAATACTCTGGGAGGGAAGAGGACAGCTCTTTTTCCAGTTTATTATGAAACCCAGCTTTGAAAGATGCGATATGAGCTGTACCGTCTGTAAAGCCACTTCCTCCCTGGAGCGAGCCATCAGCAGCAGGTCGTCCAGGTAAAATAGTACTCTCATCCCTCCTCTGTGTAGCGGCTGCAATGCCGTCTCTACACACTTTGAAAGGTGCGAGGAGCCAGGGAATAGCCGAACGGCAGACGGTTGTACTGGTACGATATTCCCTGGAATGAAAACCGCAGGAATTTCCTGTGTTGTGGGATGATGGGTACGTGGAAGTATGCATCCTTTAGGTCTATAGAGGTGAACCAGTCTCCCTGGTGATCACACTCTAGCACCCTTTTGACCGTCAGCATGTGAAACGGCCTTTTCATTATTTCCTCGTTGAACGCTGACAGGTCGAGGATGGGTCTCATTCCCCCCGTCTTTTTCGGGATAAGAAAGTAGCGGGAGTAATACCCCTGATTTTCTTCCCCTTGAGGAACCCTGGAAATAGCCTCTTTCAACAGGAGTTCCCGTAGCTCTGCTTGGAGCGCAAGACATTGTTCTCGGGATGACAGGCGTGTCTCCTGTATCCCGTTGAACTGTGGGGGGGGGGAGGCGAACTGCAGGGTGTACCCTCTGCTGATCAGCCTGCTCATCCATCTGTCCATCAGACACACGCGCTGCCACTCCGAGAAACACTCTGAGAGCGGGCGCACATGCTCGAGATGTGTTGTGGTTGTCATGACGACGAGCCACGCCAGAGCCCTCGCCGCCGCTGCCCGTGAGGCAACCCAAGGTGGGCCTAGAGCGAAAGGGCTGTGAGGGGGCCTCCACACGCTGCGTTTCACTCCGACTCTCATCGTGAGGCGTGTACACGCTCAGAGGATGATTGGAGGTGTGTGCAGTAATATCCACATGAGGCGTTACCACGGCGCTCATGGGCTTATTGTGACCGTGTGTAGGTGGCAGATCTCGGACAGAGGAATGCCGCGAGGTCTGTGGTTTAATAACCGAAAAGTTATAACCATCAGGCCTCCGCAGCGAACCCCGCTGCCTACTAATCAACAGATTGGAGGCAGCTGGCGTAGTTACTGCGCTCTGTAATTTATTAACCGATAGATTAAAATGTGCAGGCTTTTGTAACGAACCCTGCTGGCTATTAACCGATAGGTCATAGGCAGCTGGTTCACCCAGAGTGGGGGATATGTGAAACACATTTGAAACTGATGACAAAAGGTTGGAAATTAAGCTTCTTTTATTTCCTTCACACTCCCCCCCAAACCGTCAGGGCCGGCTCTGCTTCCTCGGCGGCTCTCGTGGAGCAGACGACGAACGGGAGTACTTTTCTTTTTTCTTTTCTGGTGGGGGGGCGGAGGCTCGGGACGGTGCCCCTGCCGCCGCCGACGGGCGAGTCTGCCGCCTCGGCTGTCTCTCTGCCTGCCGCTGTGGCCGGGTTGGCCGCTGCTGCTGCTGCCGCTGGTGCCGCTGCGGCTTCGCCGCAGGCTGGAGCCAGCCAACGTGCTGGCGGATATCATCTGGCGCGGCCAGATCGGGTCACTCCTGCCCGTCTGAACCCGGGAAAAAACTCCGGCCATGTCATCCAGAGCTACCTTTTCCCGTCCTAGGGGAACGAGGAGACCCTTGCAGGCTGCCGCCTTGCCGATGATCTCCGGCAGCTCCAGCATGATGCCCCCCAACGCCGGCAGTGCCGTGGCAACGGAGAAGGGGACCGCGTGCTCGGCCGCCANGCATAAAGGCTGGGTTAAGACGTAGCACAGCCAAACTGCCATCTCCTTGGATCCGGAGGCATGACGGGGTCACAGAGAGAGCGGATAAATCACTCACCCTTTTCGCTGATGTTAGAGCCAAAAGCAGTACTACTTTGGCTGATAACATTTTAAGGGGAACCTGCTCTAAAG